TACTACACTGATTACAATTATGAGTAGGGCAAACTAAAGAGAGTAGGTAAATGACTTATAGAACAAGTAACACTTGATTCATACGTATTATAAGTGAAATATGCCTAGGCAGACAACAATTTCATCAACACCTAGCGCCAATAACTATCATTCAGTAAAGCAAATTTAGTATATCGACTTGAAACAAATTAAATAATAGAAGGAGACAAGTACCAACATGCTTTCGTGTTTATAGTTCATTATACGTATCCCATCCACTATTTTATTCATCCAATTATGAAATATTTTAATTACTATCCCCTATGATTATTTTATATCACCATTTCGTATCAACAACATCAACACCAATTCAACAGCACCAGATAGACTACAAGGGAGATGTCAATACACTGAAACTGGCCAACAGACACTTTGTTGTCCCTGAAGATGTGCTGATTGATGCGCCAAAGATCAGTAATCTAACTGTACACTGGAGTGCTGCTGATGGAGTTATAGAGAATCAAAAAATACAAGAAGAGGACTACAATCCACAAAAGTTGTTCAAGAAACAGATAAATGTGATGATGAAACCTGTGGCTGAAGACGAACAGGAATTCAGCAAATCAGTCAGGTTGTTTCTCTCTGGTACTGATAAGGCCAACTTTGCTGATATGAAGAATACTGCTATTCATGATATACTTCTCGATGTCTCATTGATATACGATGTACTACCAAGGTATATCTGGTACACTCTTCATAGCAAGATCAACGACTGGAACGATGACATCTTTGATAAATCAGTGAATGAAAGAGTAGAAATGACACTTGGGTATGTGATGAAGGATATGGCATTCTGGGATTTGCGTACTCTTCTGGATGATATCTTTGATAAAGTTGATGGACGCAATCCCACGGTGTGGTTCTTCCTCACATTCCAAGCCGGAAGTAAGGAATTCAAGACGAGGGTATTCGAAACAGTTCAGACGAAGCGCTGTTATAAGATCAAAGCGGGAGAGATAGAGATCTTATCATCTTCACGTTATGAACCAGAGGGACCTGGTGAACCAAAAAAACCTATTTTGCCAGAATTACCTGATGGGAAGAGAGCCAAGAAAGGCAAGAAATCCATTTCAACACTTGGCTTAATTGGTATAGCGGTATCAGTTGTGATAGTGATTATACTGCTTATATTCCTATATAAGAGATTCAAAAATAGTGATGGCAAAAAGGTTAATGAGAATACACAGAACAGTCAATAGCAATAAATCAAATCAGACTATTCTTCTTCTACTGAATATCATCCTCTCTTCGTCATTCTTGTATATTATTCCATCAGTGCCTGCCTTCTCAATGTAATTCCTGTACTCATTGTAGTTATCAAACTCATCGTATAAGTATCCAGTTTCCCTACTGATTCTGTTTCTCTTATTTCTCCATATTCTGATCTGATTGATCACATTCTCATTGTTGCTCTTCACTGTGTGTCTCTCAAGGTATTTGATGAGTTGTTCTGCCTCAATCTGCCTATCAAGTGCATTGGCCACCTTCTGCTCATCCAATACGCCCTTTATCATTCCAGGGAGTCTGCTAACTGTTCTACTGAACAGATTCAGTATCTCAATGTCACATGGATCATCTGTATACGCGTATAGCTTGTTTCCAGGTAGATGAACCTGTTTGCTGCTACTGCTGTACCAAATAGAATAGTGCTATTCACCCTGTATGAATCACCATCTATTTTTATGATTCCTATTTCATCAAGCATGCTGAATGTGTTGGTTACCTCCATGTAGTCATAGACTCCATTTAATATCATCGCCCATTCTACCAAATACTCTATTCCTGCCTCATTATCACTGATGTGTCTTCTCATGAAACTGGTGATGATGTACCACATTTGCTCATTCTTGGATAGAAGAAGAAACTCAAGTCCCTTGCTCGTCAACCTACTGCCACTGTCCAATAATCCAATTTCAGAATAATGTTCATGGATTGAGATTGCATTTGTACAGGTGTCTTTTTGATTAGCCAATAACTTGCTGTTGAATTCAATTGGGGTGGTTTTGATATTTCTAGTGAATTGGATTTGACTGAAATTGTTCAGGAGAATTTGCCTGAAATTCTGATTGATTTTGATGTAGCATCCATCAGCACCATTGAATAGATCAATGATATTGAGGGTGTTGAGTTTGGTGTATGAAATGGTCTCATCCACGTATTTCTTGGCATTTAGAATGGACATGATGAGTCTTTTGGTCTCCTTATCCAATGATCTATAAATCAGTGTTACAATGGTGCTATGGCCTATGATATGGCTGAATATTGCAGGATGAGACTCCTTTAAGTTGCACAGAAAGAGAAGTAGGAAATTGGTCTGAGTTGGCATGGGCTAAAAATGCGCCTGTTTCTGAGTCACCTGAGAATTCTGCGAATGATTTCCTCATTTGGGGATTCTGATTCAAAATAGAACTCACTCAGAATTCTACTAACGAATATGCGATCAGTGTGGCTCAGACAGTTGTATTCATCAACGTAGTTGCATGGGGTGAACTTCTTATCGATCATAATTCGACTGAGAAGCACCTTGTAGAGATCAGTGGTACAGAATGCAGTGTGATCATTTCCATTGTACCAGAAGACGGCAATAAGCACCTTGATAGTGGAACGAATGGATTCTTCTGACTGATTCTCAGGGAGCCCAATCTTCTGATGATTCAGTAGCATATTCAGGCAGATATTCAGAAATATTCCATTTCTGTATCCGTACCAGTAGACTGTTTCTAATTCTGATTTGTGTTTGGTGCGGTAGCTTTGGAGTTCTTTGAGTTCCTTGGTTTTCAGTATTTCACGGCGTACAATTCTGATCAATTTGAATCTGTGTTTGGTGCAAAGTGAGCTGTTTCGTGATATCATAATTGTGAGACCAACTATTACGTATATTTTGGCTGTATTGATTCCCTTGACCTTATTAGCGTCAGTTGCAGCCAATTCATCCAATTCGTTGAATTCCTGAAACATTTGATCAATTTGATCAGTCTTATTCATAATACCATTTCCAAATGAGGTGGCTGCCTGATTCAATAAAATATTTCGGTTATCGTTATTGACTGAATTACTGCCTGTTATTTTCCCTAGAAGTAATTTGTAGAAGATAGTGGCCTCTCTATCGAACTTAGATTCTCTACAATTGTAATCAATCAGGCTTCTTAGACAGATGAATTTCTGGTCTACTAATTCACCAGTGTCTACTACTTGACCTATGTCCATAATGACTGCTACAAGCGTATCATCATATTCCTTATATCTGTTGTAATATTTGTTGGTGACAAGAATGTAGGCAAGTGATATTGATTCACGTGTCAGAAAGGTGGTTTTGCGATTCAGTAGGTCGTTCAGTGTACGAATTACATTACAGTCGTTGCTGTTGAAATTGTGGATTCCAAGGGCAGTGATCAGAAACATTTCACGAACACTATCAGGTTCATCTCTCTGCATAAGGAGATCTTTGTTTAGGAACGAATTGATGTTCAGAAGTTTGCGATCTACAGCACTTGCTGCCAAAATACTCTCTTTCGTGTTGTATTTCAGTAGTTTGTTGGCCATGTTGGCATCTATGCCTTGTGCTACTGCACTTATGAATATCTGTCCCATTTTGAATGCCTGTGTCTCAAGGCAGGAGATCTTCTTGTCTGCTAGGCACATTCCAAGTAGAAACCGATCACTATGTTCTATTTCAATTGGCTGACTGTTGATGTTTGGTAGCGTATTGGTTTGAGTGGGTTTATGCTTCTCAGAAATAAATGGATTTTGTTTGTTTGTTTTAAGCTTAATTGTCTCCTTCTTTGCGAAAATAAACTGAATCATTTTGCTCATAATGCGCCTGTAATATGCCTTGTTTCTGATCATATCGTCGTCATTTATGTCCGTTGGTATCTTGATGTCGTATTCTGCCAGTATTCTCTCACACTCCTTGTCTACCCTACTCTTTCTACTTGGTTTGCCATGGATTATTCTGTACGCCAGATTCTTATTGCTTTTGATGCTTCTCAAATACCTATAATTTGTCTCTGTTGGTGTCCATGGCTTATTTACACTAAGTGAATACTTCTTATGGCTTCGATACAGCCCCATTCCACTATTCTGCAACACCTCACTTATTGCATAATCCCTGTTTTCTATTTTCCCTATGATCTCATTTTTGTGTCCCTTTGTCACGGTCTTCTCCAAATCACTCATCCAATTCTCATCTTTGATGTTCTGAATGTTCTTCACCATGTGTTTACCATAGAAATAGACTGTCTCACACAGTGTATCAACCATAAGGAATTCCTTAATGTTCTTCACGAATTCATATCCAACAATCTCATCCAGATCAATACACTCTGCTTCACCACTTATCACATTCATGAATGTCACCGTGTATTCTCCAATTGCAACCAGTTTGTTCCTGTACCAGTGCAATCTACTTGTTTTGATTTGTATCTCATTTTCATTCCCTGTGTTTCTTACAACGTAGTTGAATACTCTGTTTAAGCTTGTTTTACCATAATTTCCCATTTCAACCTGTGAATTCAACAATACCTCATTTTCTGATTCCACACTCTCTTTCGTCGAATAGTATACGATATTTCGTCTCACTCCAAGTAGTTCACCATTTCCCACCTTGGAATACGTCTTGAAGTCTCTCGTTTTGTGTACTACATTTTCCACATTTATGTATATGCCATCCTTAGAAGCCACCACTTTGCTGCATGCTATTGACACGTGTCTCTTGTTGTATATTACGCCATACCTGTTGTATAGAATGATATCACCCTTATATCTCATTCTCGTGTACTTCTCAGCACAGTTTACTTTGTTTGCTGTCTCTTCTTCTGTCATTTGGGGTTAATTTGTAAATTAAGGTTAAACTGGTTTATGCATTCATTAGCACATTAACTAAGCCAATATATTTCAATTTGTTCTCATTCACCTTCACATACTCACATATCACATCAAATTGATATTTTGATACATATCAGAATAAACTTAAATCGCTTATCAATAATGTTGATTGACCCATATGTTTGTACACCTAAGACTCATCATGCTGACTGATAGCTTCACAATAATATCTGACATCTCATCTGATTCATCTGTCTCTGAATTGAATATCAGTGATGTATTTGATTCAAATTGCTCAACTGAATCAATTGAATCTTCTTTGGTCATTCAGAGTGATAAAACAGCACAGTCTAACTACCCTACTAATCAACCTGACTATCCTACTAATCAACCTGACTCATCCAACACTCATAGTCCCGCAATTGGCCTTGTATTGCTCTCTCTAGTCCCATTTCTCTTTCTACTGCTTCTATTGTACTGTATAAATTACAAGTAGCCTATTCATGTGCATCATATTGAAAATGCTTTAGTTTCTCTCTTTTTACCCCCAATGTCTTTCTTTCAAATGTGCAACTGTTGTGGTGAACCACCCAAGAAGCCTGTTTTCATCATTGGCCCTGACAAAGAGAAGAAGTGGTTTCTGGAGCAGTTTGGCATCACCATCAAGGACGACGTCTACCAGGAATTCAAGGCCATGGTGAACGGGGAGCTGGTTCTGTTCAGCTGCCTGAGTCAGGCAGTAGACGATCCAAACGTAGAGGAGCTGCACACCAAGGCGTGTCTTGGTGTGGTGGTTCTGAGTGAACACGATGTCCCAGTCACAACAAACAAACCAACCTTCTTCATTTACACTGGTGGCCAGTCCAATCAGCTTTCAAATGGGAACTTCATCGTTCACCAGAAGGACGCCAATGTGAAGGAGGAGTTCGAGAAGTTCCTCAAGGAGTTCGACACGGTCGTATAGGCTCCCTTACCACGGTATATGAATTCTTACTAATTAGGCTCTCTTGCTATAGGGCAATACTGAATATATTTACTTTTATTCAATTTCATGCAATATTCTTCTGCTTTTATTTCTCATTTCACTAATTCCCTGTTTCAGTATCTCAATCCCATTCTCCATAATTCCCTCTACCCTAAAACAGAAGTGATCTTCAACGCGAGAGAGCTCCACATCGTCTCCAAACACCCTCACAACCTCCCTGCTCATCGTCTCCTTCCTTGGCTCAACCACAACAGCCTTTTTCTTCACTATTTTTATGACTCCTTTGGAACAGCATCCCTGAAGCTTCTTTGCCTCTTCTTCCCTGAATTCTCGTCTTAAAACAAGCCTTGGCATCAGCCTGTAGCTGCACATGCTCACTGGAGACCATTTGGCGTGCTCTCTTCCTCGACCTCCTCCAATTCCCATTTCCATCTTGATACTCTGCCCAGGTGCCAGCCTACAGAGCAGTATTCCACTCTTTATCACCAGTCCATCACACACAATGTCATCACTCATCACATCCATGTTCTCTTTCGTCCTATTTGATACATCCAATTTTGCCACAATTTCTTTCTCTTCACTCTTTATGCAAACTAATCCAATTCTGTGTGCCACGTACTCATCTGGGAATATTGAATCATTCACGCTGACTGTTACGTCATGAAATGCGACTGTTCTGATCTCAGCCAGCATTATTCGACGCAGAGCATTTGCTAGTGGTGCTTTACAGTTCACTAGATCAAATTCCAGCTCAGTCCCTGTCTCAGACACCTTGGTGTATTCCATGCTCCCCAGAAACTCCTCTATCCCAGTCTTCCTCTCTCCACAGTCCCTGAATTCTATTCCGTCTTCCTTGTAAATCTGTTCAGCCATCTGGACAAAATATTTCATATTTTACCAGAATGAGTCTGATTCGTATTTCAGTAGAAAATAAGTACGAAATACTTGAGATACTGGAATGGTTGAGTAAGATAGGAGCCAGAAGGGTGTTTGTAGAGGAGTATCGAATTGGAACAGAATCAATCAGGGTTGAATTGAGTCATAGAGTACTGTATGAGACTGGTGGAAGAAGGCTAGAAATGAAGACAGGTGACCTGATTGAAATGGTGAAACACGCTGATGAATTTGTAGTAGGAGAAAACAGTATAAAATACAAGTACAATGAGAGTAGCAATGGGATGAATGTGGAGTACGATAGAGACATACGGTATAATATGGTGAATAGTGAGAGAGTACAGGGCAATAGCAAGATATTGGTGCTCTTTAAGTTACAAGAGTACAGAAATAGACTACAATTCAACAACCAGAAAGTGCTGATCAAGTACAGGAAAAGAGAGAGGAATTTGGTGATTGAATCAAGTGAAATGGTGCGAATTAAGAGAACGGTGGGAGTGCTAGTTCTAGAGGATAACGTGGTAGACGAAGTCCAAATCAGGTTGAAGAGCATTAGGATGCTTGAAGAAGTACGCGAAACAAGGGTCTTTGATGGAGACGTGGTTGTGGGGCTGTTTGAGAGGTATCTGATGATAAGCAGGGGAACAAGTGGGAAGAATGTGACTTGTGTGGTCACCTACGTCTAAGTTGGTGCTGTTTATTTAGCAGGGTACTCTTCGCCAGTCATAGCCTCGAGAATTTGGGCGATCTTCTTTGACGACTCGTTGCTTGGGGCAATTCCAAAGAAGCGCGAGAAGACATTCCGTGAGTCGCCCTGCTTGTTGAATGGGAACTTCTGGTACTGCGTCCTCTTCTTAGACAGAAACAGGTGAGAGAATATCGTACTAATTCCCCTGTAAATGAACATGGTGCGCATAAACCCAATTTCCTCAGCAAACTTCTCCATCGCCTTTGCCACGTCTTCGTCCTTTGCGTTCTTGTTCTGCTCCCTGAAGCTCTTCTCTGCCTCCTTCTTGGCCTCCACCTTCTTCTTGAAGTCTTCCACCTTCTTTTCGAATTCATCCTCTTTCACCTCCAATGAGTGGATTGCTGCCCAGAAGTAGACTCTGCCTAAGACGACCGAGTCAACCAAAGTTGGATTCGCGTATCCAAGTCGCTTGAACCACCCCTTGACATGTTCTATTGTAACTTTATCCTTTCCATTATTGGCCAATTTGCTATCATGTGGCAGTTTCTCTAAAATAGCTAAAATGCCCTTTTCTAGCTCAGAAGATAGTTCAATCTCTTTCTTATCGTTCATCTTCACGTAGTACTCCTGGTCTGTCTCGCTATTGAAGTTACTCGTCCTGTATTTTTGAGAGAATTCCTTTATGACTTTCTGGGCCAAATTCACCAGCTCAGATACCCATGGATCCAGTTCAGCAATCGAAGACTGCAGATCTGCCGATGAGAGTGTCCCAAATGGCTTTATTTTGGTCACAGGCTGATCCACAATCCACGAATGGAACTTCTTCTTGTCCATATTTTTGAGTATTTTAAACCTGTTTTCTGCGTGTGCCACGTCCAGCTTGACCATCTCGTCCGACTTGTACGCCCTGAATTGCAGCTTGTTTTGTATCGGAAATGCCTCTGGATACGGCAGAATGTACCAGGATCCATGCATTGAGTTCGTCTGCTTCAGTGTCCCAGGCTGCACCTGGTCGAAGTATCGCATCTCCTTGTCCTTGTAGAGTGTCGATTTATACGCGTCCATCGTCGTATAGCCCACCTTTGACATGTCTCTGTCCTCGTACGATCGTAGAGCATTGAAATAAAATGAGGCGTGTTCGAAGCTGGTGAATACGAATCCGCCTAGGACGAATGAGAGTATTCCCAGGAAAATGAGTGAGAAGATGGCTGGTTTGATGAGAATCCCAAGGGTGATTCTCCTCTTCTTCGTGGCCAGTTCTCTGCTCTCCGACTCGTTCTTGGTGTCGATCTCTCTTTTTTCAACCTCGTTGATTTTGGTCTCCTCCATGGGCAAAATTTGATCAAAATTGCTATAAACCAGTAGAATATGAAACAGGGGGAATTGGACCAATTTATAGGATATTCTTGTGCTTGAATGCCTTATGAAGTAGGGAATACTCCTTGGCGAGGAAGCAGACTGAGACGGCCTCATCACATGAGACCCTGAACCAGTTGGTGCAGAAATCAGTCACTGACTCCCTCAGTTTCTGATTCGTTGTGATTTTGATCAGTTCGTAACAGAGGTAGAAGAGTGTCAGCCTGTAGTGAAGTGATGATGCACCATGGGCGTACTCAATGCCATTTAGCACTGCTGCTGTCTCATCAAACAGTTCTACGTACTTGGCAATGCTCTTTAGGGTGGTTTCTGACCTATTCAGCCTCATGAGAGTGGCCAGAAAGTGCTGTTTGCTGAATTTCAATTGGGTCATTGATGGGTGATTGAAACAGCAAATGATTGGCCAAGTGGCCTATAAAAGAAGAATGGGAGAAAAGGGAATTGGTTGGATGGACGGGGATGGTGGCGGAAGCTGTGACTACCAAGATAGACAGCTCAATTGCCAGCTGCTTCAGGAATTCAGAAGCATTTCAGTTGCAATTCAGTCAGGGAGGCCTCTTCTGACGCACAAGTGTGCGCAGTGAGTTTTGCTGTGGCCTAGCTGCCTTCTGCTTTCTCACTGAATAAATGAATTTATTCATTATTTTGTTTGTCTAAAATTATGCATGCAAAGCATAAAGAGACGAGTCAAACAGGCTGTTCAGAGAATAGAGAGCAAGAAGGATACTGAGATTGAGATAAACAGTCTTATTAGGATGGCATTGGTGAAATACGTGCCAAAATGGATCAACAGGCGTAGACTGGTGCTGGATTCCAAGAGGCCATTTGTAACTGGAACCTGGTTGAGACAAACAGGCTCATTCAGGGAGGTGACCTGTAACAAGTTCATTCAAATTGAGAATGTGAGGGAAGTTGAATTCAGCATATTCAACCACTGTAAAATTGAGGAATTGGTGCTATTCAAAATAGAGGAGATTCAGGCACACGATTTGAGAGATATTGAAATCAGCACCCTAACAATCATAGAGGGGACTATCAATACCAAGACACTTTGTAAAATACTCCAAATTGCAAGAATAAGGCATCTTGTGATTGGTAGATCAGAAATAGAAGACAGCACCAATATTCCAATTGACAGTATCAAATTCAACCAATTCAGACTGAAAAGTATCAAATTGATCAGAAACAAGTCTAATTTAACTGATTACAGCAGCATCACTGATCATCTGACCAATTATCACGTAGAGGACTCCATCAACCTGGAGGAGTCAATCACAGGGTGCCTGAATTCAATTCGATTCAAAACAGCCCCAAAAAACATCCAAAACTGCCTACTGTACGAATCAGTTGAAATATCCCTACAAATTGGTTTAAGCTTCATCGGCTGCTTCACAAACGCAACCGTCCTAAAAATCACTGACTCATGCATAAACAAGGTATTTCTGGGGCAAATTCCAAATAAAATCAGGCATCTTGTTCTGGAAAGCGTAACAGTCCAGTCAGATGGTGATTTCTACGCCTTGTACAGCATGTTCACGACCCAGCTGATCAGTCTGACGCTCATTAAGCCAAGACTGCCTACTGGATACCTGAATATGCTGAAGAAGGCTGAGACTGGCTGCAAACTGATAACACAACCTGAGTAGCTGATCGCTACTCCTCAAATCCGTAGATGATGCTGTACGATATTGCTGGATACTCCCCAATTCCACCACAGTTCTCGTAAAACAAGTCTGCTATTTTCAGGCAGAGAATGTCGCACTGCTCCTCGCTGCTTGCCTCTGTGAATATGACCAGCTCAGTTCCATTTGGGTTGCTTCCGTTCTTCCTGAGCACAACTCGCCCCCTACACTTCCTGGTGTAGTAGTTGATGTGCTTCTGAAGATACACCGGTGAAACAACCTTGTTATACGATAAGCTTATTCCCTGTTTAAGCTTAACAGTCAGAATTCGAGTATGGGTCTTCTTGTACAAATTCAGGTCGTAATGCGACTTCAGAATGGCCTTGAAGCAGTACAACGTGGCCAATCCATCAGAGCAGTTCCTTCCTAGCATTCTGCAGAGCGTAAGCAGAATGTCCACGCTTCTCGTGACCTTCTCACTTGTGGCTGCCTCTCGTGCTCTCTCCAGCAAGGCGACCGCCTTGCTGCTGCACGAGGCAGTCAGATATCCCTCTGGATTGCTCAGAACGCTGATGTCGTAGATCTTGGTCTTCTCCTGCATGTGCTTCACTTCCAGCCCAGTCAGCGTAAACTCAATTCCCCTGTTAGTTAGGTAGTCCATGCAAACTGTGCTAGTCAGCTCATTCAGCACAATCCCACGAGATATGCTCAAATCGACCTCCTTGCTGATTGCCCGTAGCAAGTTGTCGATGTAGTTGATCACGTAGCTCCCCAATACGTCTCCATCGTATATTCTCAAATTGGTGCTATTTTCCTTGTAGAAAACGAGCCTAGTTCCCATTGCATCAAATGACCCAGTCAGACACCCGCTGCTTTGCACCCTTGGAATCTTCTTGAAGTTGTAGACGTATTCTGCTCCCTGCTTCTTGTTCTTCACCGTTGGCATCAGGTGAGTCACCCGCATCTCCTGGTTCTCATTCAGCTCCTCAATGCACTCTACCATTGCTCCACCAGCCGTATCAACTGCCACGTGAAGGGACGTGTCTGTCAGCTCCCTCAGGCGCAAGAAGCTCCTTTTGATGAATTCAACGTACGTCTCATTCTCCCCTGAATTGGCTACATCATAAAATAGTTCTGGTAGCCCCACTCCAACGAGTGACTTGCACCTGAATCCCACACTTCCAATCTGCCTGATCATCTCCTCCACCGCGTAGTAGATCTCCTTCACCCTCCTATGCTCCGTGTATCCAATCAGAACTGAGCTGCTGATCTCTCTCAGCCTCTCCAGCCCCATTTCAGCCCCATTCACTGCCCTGGTGAAGTCAGCTGCCGTCTCTTCATCAAAATACGATCCATCCTGGTCTACGATGAATACTCCCAAATTGGTGTCATTCTGCCTGAAATAGACGCCCACTCTCTTTTGAATTCGATCAGAGTGGATTGCTGCCACTGCTACGCATTTCAGTACCACAGCCACCTGTAACACGTCTGTGTTTCCAATCACGTAGCCGTAGTTGCCGTACTCCACTGCTGTGGTGGATCCAATCATCCTCTCCACGTCCATCGATGGTCTCCTCGCTGTCTCGGTGCTTGTTGTCTCTCTCTCGAACAGATCCAAATCCATCAAATGGGTTAAATAGCCCCTATGAATAGAAGTGAAAATGGTAATGAGGGTAGTTATAAGGGTAGTGGTAAGAGTAAGGGTAGTAAGGGTAATAATGATAACAACGATACTAACAACTGTAACATGAATAACCATAAACCACTCTTTATTCTTGGAATTGAAAGCAGTGCCAATAAAATAGGCGTAGGAATCCTTGAGAATGGCACCAAAGTGCTTGCAAATGAGAGATCCACCTACACCCCACCACCAGGATTAGGCGTAATCCCAGTAGATGCTGCTGAACACCACCGTAGCATCGTTCTGGTTCTGGTAGAAAGGGCCCTTGAGGCTGCTTCCCTTGAAATTGGTCAAATTGGCCTATTCTGCTACACAAAGGGACCAGGAATGCACCAGCTCCTTGCTGTTGGATGCACAGTGGCACGGACACTGAGTCTGCTTCACAGTAGGCCACTTGTCCCAGTCAACCACTGTGTCGCCCACATTGAAATGGGCAGACTGGTCACTGGTGCTGCCTCACCAGTCGTACTGTACGCCAGTGGGGCCAATACGCAGATTATCAGTCGCAGTGGATCAGTCTACAGGATATTTGGGGAGACACTCGATGTGGCAGTAGGAAACTGCTTTGACAAAATAGCCAGATCACTGGGACTGTCAAACAGCCCATCACCAGGCTACTCAATTGAGGTGGCTGCTCGTGGAAGCAAGGAGTACGTCAGACTGCCCTACAGTATGAAGGGAATGGATATGTCATTTTCAGGGATACTAAGCACGGTGCTATCAGAGGTGGAAAAGAAGAAGGCTACCAAAATGAGTGAATTAGGGTGGGAGTCATTTGTGGCATCAATTTGCTACAGTCTCCAGGAGACAGTCTTCTCAATTCTGGTAGAGGCGACTGAGAGGTGCATGGCATTCGTGGAAAGCAACGATGTTCTGGTTGTAGGCGGAGTTGGGTGCAACCTGAGACTGCAGGAGATGGTGGGCCAGATGGTGAGGCAGAGGGGTGGGCGACTCCATGCCACTGATGAGAGGTATTGCATCGACAACGGTGCAATGATTGCACGAGCTGGCTACCTGAAATGGGCCAATTCGCCTGGATACGTCACAGACTACTCAGAATGCTTCGTGACCCAGAGATACAGAACTGATAGGGACAAGGTGACTTGGGATACTCATTTCTGACTCTCCTCTTTGTACCCAAATGGCACAAATATCATCACGCAAAGGAGTATCATGAGTATCCCAATTACTGCTGCCAGTACAATTGATATCTTCTTGTACTTGTTCTTCCTTCTTCCTTCCTGATTTCAGTATCCTCTTCCTGCTCCTCTTCTGAGTCGACTATCTCTGGCTCAACGTGTGCCATCTCATCCCCATCCTCAGTCGTGTCCTCCTCGTCCATTTCATCAACGTAGTCGAATTCACTCTCGTCACTCGACTTCCACTCTTCTTTGATCCATCCTTTGTTCGTTCTGACTATTTTCTTAAGCATTACGGTAATTGGTGAATATTGCGTGTTACTCACCTTAGTAAACAGCTTTATGTAAATAACCATCAGGTCGCACTTCTTGGGTATCATAATTTGTGTTTTCAACGTGAATTCACTCATTTTGTACACGTCGTAGAGGGCATCCAGGTAGTTGAAGTTATCGGATGAAAATGCCTGTTTTACGTTTTCAGGGCGGATAGTGAGGTTGTCTCCTGCTATTCTGAGAGCATCATCGCGTATAAAACGTATCATTTTAGTGGTATCCTTAGTGATGTAGGCAGTGAACATGAATGCTCTCTCATGGAAGTCGAGTTTGGTGAGGAAGCAGTCTAAGAATCGTAGGCGGAAGTTGTGCTTGTTTTTGTGGTGCTTGTTTGACTTCTTGTAGTACAAGTAGGCGAGAGAGGGAACAAAATTATCACCATTGAATCTAATGGTGATATTTCCTTTACCATCATCAGTTGCAGTGAATTTGTTTGTTGCATTGGTATCTTTGAGCTCCTTGAGGTCCTTCTTGTCTGATGGATCAATGTATTTCTTTGCTGAGACATCAAATATCATTGGCTGCTTCCTGGGTGGGTCGGGCTGTTTTACAACTGGGGTTGCTTTCTTCTTCTTCTTAGACGTCTTCTTCGCCTTACCAGCACAAATGATTGTGGGTATGAGGAGAGCAATGAGTAAAGTATAAAGCATATAATAGGGGTGTGAGTATAAAATTGATGTATTATTGGGTAATTGAAAGAGGGGTTGAATCAGTGTTTATGTAGGAGTAAAGTAAGTGATTAGTTAACGTGTTAAAATGGACTAGTTAGGGAAATACTGAAAGTGGATGTTGAGAGCATCTTGTAGAGTGAAAGGTTTATTCATAAGGATAGGGGTTATTAGGAATACAGGCACTTTCCAACATAAATGAATGACTAAGAGGTGATGTAGTTGGGAGTGAGTAGTTGAGAGTGAGTAGTTGGGAGTGATGATGATAAATTTGACTCTTATTCAACAGTATTGGATAGTAACAGGAGAATTAGAGTAATGTGATGAAATATGGTATTCCTGCTGCTTTGCTTATTAAATAGTCGATTAATCATCCATGGGTTGTTCACACCTGGTTCTTTTGTGCTGTTCATCCGATGAATCATCTTCAAATGGCCTTTTTATGCCTTGATTGTTTTCTGGTTCAACACTTGTTAGTCTACTACACTCCATATCTTCCTCTTCCTCTTCTTCTTCGTCTGCCTTGGTATTGGACACATTTTGTGATTTTATCACACAATTGAGGCACGCTTTATTCAGGTGAAAGCATGCCCTACAACTATTGATTGCAAGTTGACAGGTACTACAAGTCCTTTTTGTAGTATGACTATTATCTTTACCACATTCTTCACAATAAAGTGAGAATGAATCAGTGTATGCTGCAGATAGAATCACTGATATCATCATATTCAGAATGAATGAGATTTGCATGGGTGGAATCACAACAAAATTAATTAAAATGGTTTAGGTTATTCGATACAGTAAATCAATGGAGCCATGTATTCTGCTCTGATTTCATGTGTTTACGGATCAATATTTTTTAAATTGATCAAATAAAATTCTTTTTTTTTTATTTCAAGAATGTGTATGTGAAATCAGGTGTTAATGTATTGCATGGGTTCAGGTAGCATCTGTTACTTTTTGATCTAAATTAAGTCTCAACGAAACAATCATTTCGTAAAGTGTAAAGCTTTTCTTGGTCTGACCTGTGTAAAATATCAAAATACAACCTTATTGCGTCTTATTATTGTCCAATCACTTTGTGATTCACTTTAAACAAGGTAGAATAATGTAGTAGTAACTTAATTTATTACGTAATCAACTTACAGCAATCTTCATTCTGTTTTTGTTGTACGAGATTCATCGTTATCTGATTCATCATCCAGTAGTTGAGTTGTTTTCGTAGGTTCTTTCTGGGTAATTTCCTTCGTCGGATCACTGTTCAGAGTGTCGGGATTGGCAAGTAAGTTATGTTCATGCATTTTATCAAATCTAACGCATATTTTGCATATTAGCACAGTGTACTTGCACGTTTTACAGAAATAGGCTTGTTCAATTTCCCTGTACTGAAAACATGTCTCACAAAATGCGTGTAACGAGTCATATGGATGCATGGAGTGAGATGCAAATGCA